GAACAGCGAATCGAGGGCGAACTCAACGAGCAAGAAGAAATTGTTGCATCTTATACTATCGAATGATTTCGATTATTTTAGGGATTTTTAGATTGTTTAGGTTCTCTTTGTTGATTTTTGTTGAAGATAAAAACAATCATGGATTGTCTTAAGCACGTTTGAAATTAATTATAATATATTGTTAAATAAAACTTTACCTCAAAATATTTAATAATAACAATTATTTTATAATTAGCCCACAAAGAATGGAATTTAGTTTGAGTTCATATAAAAATTTTTTACATGAGTTTTTCTAATTGTAAACTCTTCTTGCTTGAAAGTATTCGTTGAAGAAAACACAACTTCATCATAAGAAAACTCACTTACTCCATATCTAACTTTTTATTGTAGATAGATTCATCAATGGTGTTTTTTTTTGTAGCGTCACGGTCGTTGAAGTATATTTCTTTCAAACCGATGGCGATATGGTGCACTCAGAATTAATTTATGTTTCAATGTTTGATCCTAGTAAGCCTCTTAGAAAGGTATTACCAAAAAATGCAAGTACTGTTATAGTGACAAAGAGAATTTATATAGGTATGAGAGTATATATAGTTGCAAGTATGTGAAAAGATGAACAACAGCAGAAAACTACTGAATAGAGCGGAAACTATTTGCACAGTATGACTATGAATAAACTGAGTGTCGAAATTAAGATTCATTGAAGTGTCTTGTTCAATTTTAAATTGTGGGTAGAGTAGTTTAAAAAAAACAAGAAAAAAAGACATGATATTGTTATTTACGGCAAGAAAAGTCTGTGTATAAGATTCGTCAACATCCATACCGTTAAGAATGGAATCAACAAAACTATTCCATAAGTAAGTATGAATAGAGTGTGATTTGATGAATTGATTTCGAATTGTGGTGAAGCTGATCGTGGAACAACGATAGGCACTTGTCGATAAGGATGAATGATCAGCATGGATGGCGATTGAATTTTTGCTGGTTCAGTAGATGCATTTGAACTATCGCTTAATGGTGGCAAGAATCTTTGTGGAATTAGATAAGATGCTACGTTAAACAAGTCGACGAAGACTTGATATCGTTCACTAGAGTTAAATGAAAAAAGCAATTCGAATACTATCTCTCAGAAATTCATCTAAACCTAAATCGACATCACTTCAGTTGTTTTTATTTTCAAATGCTGAAAACAAATCTTTATCATGAGTTCTGATTAGAAAATATTTTATGTCAACATACGAAATACATACCCGAGTGTTTCTACCAAATAAGAAAAGCCATCCGTACCTCCCGTGCCTGGTTTTCTACCAATGTGACGTTGAACAAGTTGAATATGTTTTTCTGTTAATAGAACGAGAAAACAAAAAACACTTGGAGAAATATAATGTTTTGTTTTTCGACATACGACGCCAATTGGCAATGAGAGCATCAATATCCATGAGTAAATACAGCATTTGATAGGCTTGTTGAAAACAAGGTTGTTGATGATAGACTGATATCATGAGTGCAGCCAACATTGCTTTATGACTCATTCGACGTTCATTCATTAATTTCAATTGTGCATACTGAGTTTGATTAAGCATGTTTGAAAACTGCCGTCTCAAATTTTCTGCTTCGATATTGACACTATCAAATGATATGCCATTCTATCCAGAATAAAACACAACAAAAATGAAGAAAATTCAAAAATATTCTAAGACATCAGTTCAAAACTGTAAATTTTCACTAACCGCCAATTTCTGTTCTTTTGTATGTTCGATAAAGCGTTCTACAGACGTTTGATATATTTCCAGAAAATCAAATGATGTGCTGTCATAAACTTGTTCAAGCCATCTCTATATAAATACAAATATTGGTGATATTACTATCAGAATAAAGATAGACTAATTCAGATAACTTACTTCAAGCAAAGCAAGTAACGATTGTTCGCTAGCTGCATTTTTCAATTCTTCAGCCTGTTGATTTTTAAACATTACATGAGTGAAATAGTTTTCGTGATAATGATGTCTTAATTTATCGTTTAAGCCGAGTTTAAATTCTATTAAGCGAAATTGTAAGCTTTGAAAACCACTAGCTGGTATAATATAATCACGAAATTCGAGAAATTCGATTGGTGTCATTGTTTCAAGCAATTGAAATTGATCGAGTAAAATATTCCAGATTTTAACACAACGATTAAGACTAGTGTTAATGTTAAACATCGAATACATTATATCTTCTGAGCAAGTAATGTTACGAAAAATGTCTCGTATTGAATCAATCTCGAATAAAATTTGTTTGAACCATAATTCGAACACTACAAAAAAAACACAGACACATACAGATTGACATTGAAAATTTACTATCACTAACCCTGATGAATTAAAATAAAAAAGTGCTCGTCATGTACATGTGGGCTGTTGTCATCTAATGGATCAATATGACTACGACACTTGAGTGCAGTAAACAGTAAATCAGTGCGCAAATAGGTTGTGTAATTCAATGGTTCTTTTTGTATTGCTGGTTGATGACTACCATTGCTAACAAGATTGGTTGTTATTGTCTGTTTATTAATTTTGACATTATTGCTGTTGCTGTTGTTGAGGCCATTAGTTATTGATTCTTTGTAGGGACAATGCATGGCATTTGCTTCTGATCTGAAAAAAGATTTCTTTCTTTTACTCTTTGCTCTTATTGTACTTTTTAATGAGGAAACGTTTTCAACTGAGCATTTACTTTTGATGTTGAACGCTGTATATGAGAAGGATTTCATGGAGATATACAAAGCCTCAAAAGAATAAATTTTTCTAAACCTTCTGTCTAGAGTTATAGGCATTTTACTAGAGTTTTAGCCTCTGACATAGTATATATCAACATGTCGGATGACGATATTTTGACTTGAGATTCTACTCACAGACAAATCTATTTGTCAGTTGAATGTCCTAAAAATTTTAGCACAAAAGAATATTTCTTTCTCAAGATATGAAATTTCCAAAAATGAATCATATTCTGCAACAGATGCCAGAGCTTTCTGTTTTCTGGACAGTGAAAAAGATCAGGCTGAAACAAAGTCATTCAACTTGTCAGTATATAACATGCCTATTAATTTGGACATAAGATCTCTATGGAATTTATCTTATGTACAGAATATTAGTTCAGAAGCAATCGAAGATAATAGACGTCGGATCCCTTTTCAAAGAGTTTTTGAGAAATGAAAAATGATGATGTACGACATGACTTACATTGCTCTATAACATTCCAAAGGTTTTTTCGAAATCTGAATGGCTCAAATACAAAATACGTTTCTGAATACGTTGAATAGTGTAGTTTTGGGCTCTTTGAGTCGATAAAAATTTATAAACAACATGTCAATGATGATGCGTAGTAATGCATTGATTTGCAACTATTGTCATATGAAAACTATAGAAAGCGTGAATTGATCAAGTTAGAAAGTTAGATAATAATTAATATTAGTGTTTGTAAGCTGATTAAGGTACACAACAATGCATTACGATCTATTGCTTTAGATATAATGAATATGTGTGACAGACTTATTTGTCAATTAATTCAATGCTTACATTAATAATCATGTTAAAATAAGAACAAATACGAGAAAATAGAAACAAGGCCCAACAATAGAGCGTCCGTAAAAAATCGGGAAAATTCTCTTGAAGATGCAGAAACAAATATGACAAATCTTTACTTTCCTAATCAATTATCTTGTAAAAGAGGCATACTCTACCAGCGATTTTTCACTTTATCAATTTTTGAAGTAGTTTATTGAGACTAAGCAACATATATGAACTCCGCATTTTAGCTCCAAAGCAACTGCGCTAAAAAAATTTTATTCTATTTATCGTCACAAAACTCTAAACAAATATCAAGAAAGTGAATTTTGAAAAGAAAGGAATCGTAACTTGACGTATTACATTCTTCTCATTAGATGTTTGACAAATACAAGCAGAACTTAATCAAGAAAAAGTAAAAGTTACCTATCTTAATAGGTTTCTCTCACAAGACGTAAGAAAACTATTACAGAAAATAATCAAGAAAAACAAATATTAAACATAGTAATTTATGCACTTTCCTCTAATCAGATGGTTGACAGCTATCAAGATAACTGAATGACAAACAGAAAACTAATGTTAGTTTTCTCATTCTAATTCTCATATAGAATACGTTACAACTATAAGGATAACAAAATAATAAAAAAAGTAAAGTTAACTTTTTGATTACATTTCTCATAAGTACAAGATGTGCAAGAACTATCAGGATAAGTGAATAAAGAAAGAGTGAAGTAAAGTAAACTAATTTTTTTCCATTACTCTCACAAGATGCTAGAAAAGTATTAGAATAACTCATATAACAAAAAGAAGGCAAATTAGGTTATTCGGTTTGTTGTATAAAAGATGCGAAGATATCGTTTTGATTACATTTCTTTTATGACATGCGCAAATACTATTGAGATAAGCAAAGAAAGAAAAAGTAGATTAAACTAAATAAAGATTTTCCGTTTCTCTTATAAGATATCGAAAGAGGATGGACGTAACTCATAGAAGAAAAGGAAAATAAACTAGGTTACTCTGTTTGCTTCAAGAAGTGCGCAACTTCAGCTCGAGTGCAATATAATAATCTATATTTGGGCGTATTTTATTCGAAACAAACTGAATAAGGTGGTATCATACAAATTTATTGATAACAAAAATGATCAATGTTATTGTTTCGAACATGGTAATGGCTAGATTATTCAAATTTCATCGATCTCGGCATCATGAATCCTTTGATTTGTTCGTTAGTGATCTGTTTCCGTTGTTCTTGATGTTTACCGAACAATTTTTGTAATAGAACAACAAATTCTTTGTTGAAGTCACACGTCAACAGTTGACCCATTTAGTACCCTTACTGAAAGATAGAAAAACGTAACAAATTAGTATAGGGTGTGGTTCGCTGTTGAAGAGAGTATCTCTTCCTACATACTTATTCACAGGCAAATCAGTACCTTTACATATCTCAAATATACTAAAAAAAGTACATGAACTAAGTTCTGAAACTGAAAGAATCAATATAAGAGAAAGAAAACTCATGACTTTTATTTATCAGTTTCTTTAATTGGAAGCTTTGTTTAACAGCCAAAGGAGTATTATTTAATCATATGAATATTTCTTAGAAATAATTCTTTCTAAAAACATTTGATGCGCGACAAAGGATCAACTACAATCAATTTTTGTTTGAACAAAAACAAAAGGAAATTTCTCCCGATTTTCCTTTACATGATACGACTAAGAAACATCAAAGAAGAATGGAACCGAAATCGAACTGCATTGAATAAGAATCTATTTTTGAAAAGATGTTTCAATGATTCATAGAGCTATCGTTGATTTTAAAACATTGTTATCGACAATGTTAAAACGAGCTTTTATTGCTTATTTTATACGCTGAATTTTGTTCTTTGTAAGATACAACTTTTTTCTTCTAGCAGAATTACTGAAGGAAACGTATTGGATCTCTCAAGAATTCCATGAGAAAACGCCAAAGATTTTCGTTATGGCTTTCATTTTATACAAAAAAAAGACACGTTTTGGGATTTCATGATTTCATCAAAGATCAAATCTTCCAGCATGACAAAGAAATCAGTTTGAACAGTTAATACTTATTTCATATCCATGGGCAACAAACGTGTTGGCTGCAATGTATAAAAGGTTCTTTTGTAGCAAACGACGAGGAGCTCTGAAATACTTCAAGCTCAGTCTTTTAATAAAAGAAATGAGTTGAAGACAATCTTGGCTAGATTTCAAACTGGACTCTATTTCTCATTTAGAAAAAAAAATGATTTGATATATTCGCTTTTAGCAGCATGAATTATCAACGATACACAATTCCTACAGTAGTAAGTTAAACATATTCATTACAACACAAGCTATTGTTACACATTTTAATCAGTAATTCTGCGACATCTGATTTTTTTCAGTTAATATTTTTTGGTAAACTACTCTTCTTTATTTCTTTAAATTTTGTTAAGGTGAAAATTTATTTAGATTTAATATTAAGAATTAAGTCAAAATAAATCAATAAAACTTGATATTCAATTATGAAATTTCGATAGACAATTTTTTCTTCATTAGATATTAGTGGAATATCAAGTTTGTTTTTTTTTATATGCAAGTGGTTTCATTTTTCTATAGATATTTTAACTGTAAATTTAATCACTTGCCATCTAAGTAAAATATAAAAAGAATAAGAAAGAATAATACACTATAAATATTAATTAGTTTTATGACTGTAATAACCCGTTAATGAATGCTGGTTTTTTTTCAAAACTATTTCTATCATTGTCATGCATTCATTATTGTAGAAATTTTAGCATCAACTGATTTTACGCACATTAGTCTACCTCGTTTCAAATTTACTTTATTGACATACTGAATAATAAATTCAGGATCACACATGTTCTTAGACTCGAATCAAAGAGTTTGTTATAATTCTTTTACAAACAATAGATTTAACTGAACAGTTCTTCGATCACTTTTCTTCATTTCAATCTTCGATGTTCAACAGTCATATCAATAGAAAAAAACAAAGCTTATCTATTTACAGAGACAGTCAAACTTTCTCAATAAGATGGAAAAGATGAATACGAACTATGCATATCGCCTAATCATGAGTATTGTCAGTATGTAACTTAAGCTCAAAAATACTGCACACAAACACTGTACGGTGTGTGTTGGCATTTGTTTTTCTAAAAAAACTAATAAAAAGACACAACAGTTATGTGTTATTGTAAAAAATAAATTAAGTTCACACAAGAGGACCAAGGTCAATAAAAGAGAGTGTGGGTGTGTAAGGCATGGAGACAAGGCTCATATCCACATCCTCAAGCTTTCCACTTCGCATCAACTCAGAAATATATCTGAAATTACACGTACAGTAATCCTCGAATGAGCTACAAACTGAAGTATCAGTTTCAAGTGTATCAAAATACACCTGCAAGTATGGTCAATTTTATGCTTATAGCCATACAATTTGTAGATCATGTTTAGCTTTTATGTATAAGAATCGTCAATAAACAGAATTTGATTGAATACAAGAACACAAACCAGCTTCTAGAATTGTGCTGAAATAGTAATTTGAAACAATAACAAAGCTTATTTCACTAACGGTAAATCAGCAGAATTGAGACAGGACACTCAAGTTCTCGAAAACAAGACAACCAATCATACTAATCTACAGGCCTTATGTAAACTTTTATATTTTATGCGTCGATTTAAGTTGGTGATAATAGTTATGAAAAGAAATGACAATTACTTTTCAAACTTCACTAATCTGTGTGCGACTTTATCTTCTTCTATCTTATCGAGAACACTATTTCGTTTTGGAAACCAAAGAAAACATTATTAACATACAAACAATTGTAATAGCTTCACCTGCATATGAACATTCTTAATTTGGCATTCTAAACTGATATATATATATATATTCTAGGATATTTATTTAGAAAAGTCTTGCCAGCGCGTTGCCAAACGTTTTTTAAATAGTTCGCTCATTTTTCTATGCATCAACAGTTTTATTATTATCAAAATATAGCCTACCTTGCCAGATAGAAAGCCTTCTTTTGTGAAATTCATTAACGTATATGTTATATCTCTTGCATCTATTAGAAAGAAGGGAGTGTTTTTTTTAATATTTGTATGTAATTATGATTGTACTTCTTATCCACGTTACAGAATTCTTGAAATCTGCTTGCTGTGAATTTTGTAAGTCCTCTAATTTAGATATCAAATATCACAATTTTGACGAATGAATAATACACGGATATGTGCAGTTAGCGACGATGTCACTAATGAAATGCATTAATGTTGTGCTCCATGACTTGTCAATATTTCCACAATATACCTGTTTTGTTAGCTTGTGTAATAACACAACATGCATAACGTGCGTAGTGGTATGAAGAATAATGCGAACAACATGCATTTTTTCTTTTCTTTTTCTGTAAGCCAAATTTCAGGTAATTGTGTTAGTAATCAGGAACTAGTGCATGTACTTCCACACGATTACATTGAAAACACGGGATAGCAATCATTTCTATTTCTGTATTCTATTGCAAGTGAAAACAGAGTGATATCCTAATACTGCTATACCCACTATCGATATTTCCAAAGTACAATACCAACTAAAGTACCCAAGTGAAGGGTATTCACTTCCATCGCACAAACATCATCTAACGGAGTAATGACTTCAGCACTATAATGTATAGTTTCATTCATTCGCATCCACTCCAGTCCCATAACTACATACTCCATCCACACTCAATATATATTTGACTTGAGAGTACTGAGGGGATAATTACTTGTGGAAATAATATTTAGAGTATTAAAGTAAATACACTTTACTTAAATATTATTTATGATACTCTGATATTTAACTCTGAGTATCCATTGTAATAGTACTATGACATCTATGCGAAAACAAGAGTAAAAATGAATACATTTGTAGGTTCGTTAAAGAAATCATTGATCACTTTCAGATGAAACAAACTATTACATCTACTTCATTTTTGTCACCATTCAATGGCAAAACGATTGTACTTGAACTTGGCCATGAAATAGGCTTCAAAGCTAAGCAAGAACTGATCAACTATTTACGAGAACAGCAAGCACACATTTCATATATTCTTACAGCGAGTGTACGTTTTTGTTCTATTCCACAAACATGCTGTCGCAGGTGACTTTTTTCTTTAGACTGACTACATTTTGGTCACGAATAATGTAAATACCTACAAGACACGTCGTGCTAAACAACTCGGCCTGCCATTGATCAATGTTGAATATGTATACGAATATCGTCGCTTGCCACCAGACCAAACATCATTAGATATTAGTAAATATATCATCAAATCGGTTGAAGATCAGGAAAATTTTACAAAGACCGGCACTATTCCCGTCGCAGGTATTAAAAGTTTTTTCTTTCTTAAATAACATGCCGGACATACTTGTTTATTAGGACCACGGACGAGTGCTATCAAGGTCAATAAATTTGATTTGAATAAAATCAAACTATGGAATTGGGACGATGCTGATTTGCCTCGTTTTGATGAGTCTACACATTGTGAAATTGGCAAATGGGCCATTTTCAAAGTATAGTTCTATGCGTATATAAACCTATTGTTCGTTAATATTTCTACTACTTATCACAGGAAACCAACGATAATTTGGATGTGTATTTTGTTCTCGAACTTCAAGTTATTCCTGAACAATACTATGATCGAACAATGACTGATTATAGACTACGGTTTCGATACGAAAAACAGACTATTACGGACAGAGGACAACAACAAGATAAAAAAGTATTGATACAGTATGCTTTCAGTGATGATCCAAATGAACAGCAACAATTGTTTGCATCATACTATTATCGAGTGGCTACAATGCCACGTATAACACGAATTCGTGAGGTGTTACCTGATAAATTAGGATCAAAACTATTGTTACGCGTAAGTACATAAATGACGTTAACAAAAAGAAATAATATTCAAAAAAAAACTCTTTTCAGACTTTATTTACCCATTGTATCGATACACAAATACTTGATGAGAATGTATGTCAATTGATAGAATCAATTTGGCTAGAATCTATTGGTGATTTGAATAAAATGTTGAGCGTGCCACCGGAATCAATCACTCTCAAAGCGGTATACACATTTATTTTACTACATTCAAACTAGGTTTTTTTCTCCAAACTATTAAATAGATCATCGAAGCTGAAGCAGCTTTGCTTGAACTTCGATCGAACAATGATCCTGTTGCTGTACGTCGTTTTTATTCACTTATTCCCCATCAATCACAGTACAAAGTTGATCTGCTAAAGAATCGTCGAGTATTAACCGAAAAAATTGACTTGTGTCAAGTACGTCTATTTCCTTCCATTGCTTACTTTAATCTTTCGTTCTTCCAGATGCTTCGAGATATGCTAACAGTCAATGAACTAACCAATTGGAATATTAAAGCACCGATCGAAGCCAAATATCGAGCATTGAAATGTCACATTGAAACAGTTGATAGTTCAACACCCGAATATAAGAATATTGCCGAACTTATTCAATCATCGACAAATAGGTATAAGAAACATTAACATTTGATTTGATAATGATACTTTTGCTTTTGTTCACTAGTAGTGAAAAAATTGTTATTCACCATGTATTCAACGTAGCCAAACAGACAGATGCACTGAATTTTTGTACATCATTATCTCATCAACGGTCACTGTTTCATGGATCAAAATATGCCAACTTTCTTGGAATTCTTTCACGGTAAAATATTCATTTTATCTTCTAGACATTATTTATAGTTTGGCTATATACATTTAGTGGTTTGACTATGCCAAAAATAGTAGTTGAAGAATTAGGTGTCATACGCACTGATATTGGTTGTCTTGGCTATGGAATTTACTTTTCAGATTCTGCTTCTACATCTCTAAAATATACGACACCAAGCACAACACGACCAGGTCGACGATTATTGTGCATTTGTCAAGTAGCTCTAGGCGAATCAGCCAACTATTATTCATTTTCACCGAATCTCACCAAACCTCCTGACGGCTTTCATAGTACACATGGAGTCAAACGAACAGAAGAAAATCATTCAATGTTTACTGTAAGTACTTTACAGAGTTCTTATGTTTCATCAAAGAAAAAAGAATATTTTCGAAAATTTTGGCTGATTGGATAGAATCAACGAACCTAACTTTTTTTTTCTCAAGTAAAAATGTAAGATTTGATTTATTTCGTTTGAAATGTTATCAGTTCAGTGATAATCAAGAGAGAATCCTATCGCTGAATAACAAAAAGAGTATATGTTGTGTCACTCAAGTCTGTTCATGAATATCATTTTCATTTTTAACTAAAATGTCGAGATATCATCATGATTCATTTGATAATAAAAGCAAAGTGTTTATACACAAGCATGTCATTCATTTTTAAAATTTTTGCATCATAGCGAAAAAAGTATTTCATCATATTTTATGTGCGTACTACAACGTGTTGCTAAGTTCTAAAATATTTATCACTCGTTCTGTAGTTTCCATTGGTTAAATTAATCATGAAGAAAAAGGATACATGTTATGATTGCACAAAATAAGATTCATATTAGATTTTCTCGACAGATCCTGCGTAGTATCCTTTGTTTATGTGATAAATGTTCATATTGACGACTTTGATCGTTGCATTCATGCTGAAAAACTCTTTTATGTACCGTTCGATGTCAATTTGAATAGACTGTATTTTGATAAGAAGTGTTTTTAAAAACATATAACATTCAATGGTCAAATTTTTTAATTTAATTGCAAAACAAAATGATTAAAACTTTTAACTTTAACATAGGTCATTAAAAAGAGCTCTAAAAGTTGAACAGACACTAATGTTATGAATCTAAACTGATTTGAATTAATAGAACTTTTTAAAGAATTTTCCACGTTTTGAATCGATGCTACATAGATTATTTTGTAGAACACATAAGAGAGACTTTATTGCCATCTGTGTAGTGTACTTTAAAGTTGATATAGTGCCCATAGGTTCTACAAGTAATTTTTTTGACAATTAAATTGAAACCAAACAAGTATGCAAACATGAGACGAACGTTTCGACAAGTGTCTTGTATAAAAGTGGTATTCGTTAAATTTCATGTAGAATGTTATACAAAAGCTTTCCGTTTTTTTTTTTATTCAATGACTAAAAAGCTACAAAATCCGGAGTACTGTCAACTGCTTTCCAAGACGTCATTATGTAAAGAATAGTGTTGTAATTAAAGATGCATTTCGCTTTGTTTCATGACAATGTCATTGTGAATGAAAACCAAAATAAGTATAATCTATCAAACAATAGTCTATATAGTAATGATAACTGTCACTGAGTGCATCTAAAAACAACATTTCTCTAAGAGATCGAATAGAAGATTTCAGATCATCTAATGTATTCAGAACTTCAATCTAGGAAACAAGCGTTTTAACTGTTTTCTTGTACTCTGGAATAGAAAATTGAGCTACAAATGCACATTTAACTTGACTGAAGTATCATTTTGAAGTGGAAAGTAAAACATAATTCAATCAATGCATGTCCTTTTACATAAGGCACAGTTCTATATCATACCCAAAGCGCATGATACATCACTGAAAGTCGATCTATGATCTATGTTAGAATTGCTCTTAATTTCATTTCAACGGAAAAATCCGAAATAATCAAACTTATATACATCCTAGGACTTGAACATAGACATGGTATAAGATAGAGAGTCTTAGGTTTTTGTCTCAGCTAAATCTTTATTCATTTGCTTCCATTGTTAACATCGATGTGAAACATTAATATGAATCTACTAGAGATAAAAATCAAGATCCCATATGAGAGATACATTTGGATCCAAGACTTTTATGTCGATTTTGGTTTAGCAATATGCTTAATCGTGCAATCACTAATATGATTTTTATCAAAATAGGATAATGAATATGCGATCTATCAACTCGATCAACAGCGTTTACTATACATTATAGAAGTTTCATGGGCACCGAACGATGCTCTTAATATCGAATTAGAACGATTGCCAATTGTTCATCATCAACAACATGCATTAAAATTGAGTGAAAATGGTAATAATGATTCTGTTTTATTCGAATAAAATTCGATCAGATGATATTGTATGTTCTAGTCGAAGTTCCATTGACAATGGATGATGAAGTCATTGAAGTAGCCGAACAAGACTATGGTTTAGTATGTCCATCGTCAGGAAAACTTGTACCACTTAAATCATTTCATATTCGTGCTCAAATTGTTGATTCTACAGTTGAAGTAAAATATATCTGTCGTTTTGTTAAAGTATAACTAGTTTATCATATTTCTTTTTAACAAAAAAAAAAAGGTTGTTCTCTATCAAGTCTACCACAACACAAGTTCAACACCGATCGAAGCTAAATATGTGTTTCCTCTTGATGAAAATTCGGCTGTATGCGGTTTTGAAGCACATATCAACAATAAAGTTATAAAAGGCGTCGTTAAAGAAAAAGAACAAGCCAAACAAGAATATCGAAAAGCAATCGAAAAAGGTCATGGTGCCTATTTGATGCATCAAGAACAAGCTCAAGTGTTTAGCGTAGCTGTTGGTAATTTACCAGCGAATAATGAAGTCATCATTAAGATAACCTATGTTGCTGAGTTAGAAATCGAAAATGGTGATATCATCTTTCGCCTTCCAGCTAAAATGGCTTCATGGCAATCGAAACAAGCAATTGAAGCAAAAGATCAATCGATTGTACGATCTATTGGTATTGTTGATGAAAAAGTTGAATTCAGTTTCAAAGCGTCGATTCGAATGCCATATGAAATCATCAAATTATTTTCACCAACACATCGTCTTCGTCGAAAATTAACTGATTGTATAGCTATGGTTGAACTTGTCGATAACGTCTTACTTGATCGAGATTTTGTTCTTTCTATAACACTCAAAAGTGCTAATTTACCTCGAATATCAAATGAAACATTGTCATTGGATGATGACCAAGTCACAACAACAACAACAACATCGAACAATAATTCTCAAGCATGTATGCTTACATTTTATCCGCGATTTGAAACATTAATGAATTCGAACGAACAAATTGAAATTATTTTTATTATTGACGTATCCAATTCGATGGATGGTAGTCATGTACAACAGGCTAAACAATTAGCTCATTTATTTCTTATGAATTTAAAAGTTAATGATAGAAATACAATTTTCAATGTAGTTACTTTTGGATCAGGTAATAATATGGTTGTCAATAGTATTATTCTACTGTGCAAATTTCAACTATTTAGATAATGATGAATGTTTTCCGATTTCAACACCAACAACAAAAGAAAATCTTGATAAAGCCAAACATTTTGTTCTGGTTGGTAATTTTATCTTGAACATAATTTTTCTCACTGAAATGTATACATTCGACATATTTTCTAGCATTCACTTATCCATCGTGGTAATACAGATCTATTTTCTGTTCTTCATCGTTATTCACTTTTACCATCGTTAACATCATCGAAATTTGGCCGTCAATTCATTCTTCTATCCGATGGGCATATTCATGATTTCAAATCGATTCTTACACTGCTCGAACATCAATCGATTTTGCGTCATGATCGTCTATTTACATGTGCAATAGGTAATATTGCTGACAAATACAGTTTGAAACAATTAGCTCGTGGAGCATGTGGAGGTGGTCTAGCAACGATATTTGATTCGAACTATCGATCAAAATGGAAAACAAAAATTTTAAATATCCTCGAACAAATCCGACAACCTTGTATTACAAGTATATCAATCGATTGGCATGGTCAGTTAGATACAGAACAAAAATTCAATATGCAAGCACCGAAAATGATTCGATCTTTATTCAACGGAATGCGACTTAGTGTCTATCGTTTTATACAAAATTGTCACAAGGCAACATTAACAGCTACTATCGATGGACAAGAATTTGTTACGACGGTATTTAGTAGTCCGATAACAACGACCAAAGGACATATTCTACATTGTCTAACTGCTCGAGCGATTATTAATGATTATGAAAATGGATTATTGCATGTGAACGAGAGTGAAAATGAACTAATCAAAGTTCAATGTAAACGAGATCTCATCGATCTAAGTATCAAACATTCTGTCGTTAGTGAATACACTAGTTTTGTTGCCATCGAAGAACGTGATGCTAAAATAGATAGACAAATTCGTCAACCAGGTTAGTCAAAATCTAATGTATATTAATAATGAGAATATTTATTTGTATACATTCTGTGGTAGGCGTTCGTCTTCTGGATGTTATGCTTGATCGAGATGTCGACTTACTACCATACATTGAGTGGTATGGTGATGTATCAACTTTAGTTTCGATTAAACAAAAATTGATTGATGCACGTATTTCACTCGAATGTGCATCGATTCAAAGCAAAAAAGAATCAATTGTTGATATTGAAAAACTTTGTGAAAAAATTTCCTATCGAGCTGGTGGTGATCCTAAGTTTGATATGATGATGTCTATTATACATACGTATCGTTATTCATTGAATGAACATGAAAAAGCAAATGAACTCGAAAACAAAATACGAAACGGTATGTTAATTAATCTAGAATAGAGATTCACAAATGTCAATTTTGAAAAATAAACTAGATATTAAGATCGAAATGATTAGTGCAACGACAGAAGAACGACAAACATTACAACAACGATGTGAAGCTAATAATTTGATGATCACAAATGATGAATAGTACGTAAAAGAAAGAAAGGAAATATTCAAAATAAAATTTCGTGTTCATTGTCTTTTAGTGAATTATTATTCGACCATGACGGTAAGAAGAATCATAATTAGAACTCATGAATTTCAACTTCAGAAACCTCAAATGAGCGAGAGAGAGAAAGAGAGTGATCATATGATTTAGAACAAAATTAAATTTTTAGACACGCTGTTCATCATTAAAGTGATGAGCAAAAACAAACCATTGGATTCTTTTAGTTTGTATATATCATAGTATTTGAGTAGTTCCATTACAGTCGAACAATGGGCAGAAAACGATAAAAACTTAGTTGCAGAGTGTGAAGCGACCTAGAGCAAGAATAAGTTGTCGTCTTTATCTTTCGATCGTAGATTTCTGGAGTGATATATCTTTTATTTCGAATTCGAGAATAAATAGAGATTCATTTTCCTATTGAATTCACAAAATTTCAAGAGATTCAAACACATACGACAATCAAATAACTATCGATACATTTGAGTTAGACTGACAGAGCGTGAGTTCGATTTTTACCATGAATTTTTAATCTTTAAATTCCACATACAATAATGAAACAAAAATTGTTAGTATCATGTGAATTTTGATAGATCTCAAAAAAATCTTAATAATTCATAACATATATGTAACACATATATATTTATTTTTGTCAGACTAAGTCAATTGACTGTGGAGTAACATACACACAAGTATTCTTTTCTCAATTCTGCTATAGATAGAGTTTATAGTAGTTATTGAAGTATAACCTAAAAAACCAAAGCAAAACAAAATTGGATGAATACTAAGTGATTTTCTATATGAAGCGTATGAACTCTCAATGAAGAATAGAAATGGATAGGGTTTATGTTTGTATGCATCCATATATGAAATGCAAATTCAGCACAATATACAAGGAGCATATTTTATTGTAATGTTTCTATCAATGCGTTTTTTAAAAGCTATATTATTGCTATTGATCTAAAATATGTTGAACATTGTACTACGTAGGATCTTTAGAGTCTAGACTAGAAAAATTTGATAGCATGAATGGTCTAAAGCAAAATTGAACAACTATTATATTGTATTTGCAAAACTTCAACGGAACTGGAAAATCATTTTAGAGAATTTCAATAAAGTGAAATTACTCAGATTTGCTTGAATACTGTAAAAGAACTTCATAGTCTAGTTTTAAAGTTAAAATATTTGACATCGAAAAGATATACATTCAAAAAAAATACGATATATGACTGTTAACGTATAGTAAAGCATTTAAGAGCATCGCAATGACTTGCACGAAAAAAAAACAAACAGAAGTCTTTTTCAAAGAAGTCTGTATTATTCGTTTTAATTAACTTCGAGATGTTCGAAGCCGTTCTGAAGGAATTAACACAAAATGAAACAATGTATGTGAATGACAACGAAATTGATATATTCTTTTCAGTAAGATGAAACAGCAGAATCTACCGATGGACTTTCTATGTCATCATTATCAATAAATGAAAAATCGCTCCTAAATATAGCTAACATTTTTAATTCTATACTCATAGAATCTTTATACAGAAAGAGTACGATACGTTATCAAAAAATTGCAGAATATTAACCATTTCATTATGGCTCAACTACTCTAATATGTAATTTTCTTGAATTAAGTCCTTATAAATTATTTACTAATTATAAAATGAGAAAGATTTTCAATGGAATGAGGTGACTTCATCTTGATATTGTTCATATTTAACTTAGTCGAAAAAATATTTACATCATAATAAGCAAATTATATTCATACGGGTTCAACTGAAAATGATATTTAATATTCTATGAAATATGATCTTTAGTTATACTTTATTGTAACCATCGATCGATTAGTAATGAATTAAAGTATGAAGTTTCTTTTATTCTTTCATTAAGAAATCTACAATTTCTCAACATCAGTAATAATATTCTTTAAAAAAAAACTATCCTCCTAATATTGAGAGTTTTACCATCAAGAGTTTGTGCTCAAATAAAATGAATACAGTATTCGAAATAGATTTACAAAAAGAAAACATAGTGTGCTACATATTTTTCATCGGAAATTAGTTTTCATTGAAATTCAACACTTGGTACGCCACAAAAAATATGCTTGCAAAAAAAACACAGGTTGTTCCATGCAGTTTTTTACATCAATTCTGAATATCTTATTCATTTTATTTCAAAACAAATTCTTGATGTGAAAAATCGACAAAGCGAAGATCATTCTTCAAAAATTTTGTTCATGGTATTGAGAAAAACATCAATTTCTCTTCGATGATTATAAGAAAAACAAGGAAAATTAGCACTTCAATATTTTGACAATATTTATTTTTCGGAAACTGAATAGATGATTTGTTTCTGTGTCTGATCGAAACGATCTTTACTTTAAGTGTGCGTTGATTTTTAGCAGCGAAAAGTACATCTGGAAAGCGTTCATCACGCCGACGGTCAAGATGGCAAGCATTAGCAGATGATGATAAAGGCAAAGAACATGCTGGTATGAATGTCGCCTTGTTCAATGAAAACATGGACACGTACTGCAATTTGCCATCAAGTGAGTTATGCAACTTTTATTATCAAGAGTGAGCATTGAGAGCAAAGTTCAATAAAATGAAAGTTGTTTAAATTGCTTTCAAAACTATATTTTCTTATTCTAATTCCTAGTATTGTTCAACTAGTGCAAAAGATAGAAATAGAACCATTTTACAATATGATCGTGGGTCTAATACATTTGCCATTGTTTTGAAGGAAATAGGAGTAAATATCAACGACTTTTAATTCTGTTGAAAAGTGAAGGAAAACATATCACATAGCTTTTGTATGTGATAAAATCCATATCAAACATAATTAAAAACAGAAGGTTACAAAATGATCAAAATTTTGAATTTCATAGTGATCAATAATACCTCTTTCTTGACAATCCATCGACTGAACGTAGTCTGATCCTAAAGTTGATTTACTAGGTTATGACTTTCTATCTTCAATTACAAGTGAGCATGCCAGAAAACTAAGGCAACATATTTCAATGTCTTTGAAGATTATTTGAATTCAAGAATAAGTTATACCAACGCACTTATAATTAATTTCCAATATTTCTCAAAAATTTGGATTTGTACTGCTATGTGATTATTAAGCTTCTGAAAACTTCGAAAATATGAATATACCTCATAAAAATATGTTCCAGTTTTGCTCTTTCTAATATAGTAAAAAATGCTAACTCTATAGTTGTCTAGCTGTTTATGTATTCGAAGACTAAAATACTAATATCCTAATTTGAAATGACTATTATATCAATAAACACAATATTAAGTGAACATCTGCCTCGATTAAATGATTGCTTACACTAATGATTCAATGTAGGTCCTATGCGATTTATAAATGTGTTGATACGTGTATGCACAGACTTCAATATATTTTAAATCTTGACAATTTGACGTTATCATATACCGATAGAATTCAAGTGGAAACTTTTTTTTCTTAATGTATCCGAATAAGTCTTGTTATGATTCATTAGTTCCTTTCGGAAACTAGAGAGGTCCGATTTGACTACAAAAAGAAACCATTGGTTTTACTTTATAAGCTAGTAATATCTAACTGATACGAAGTTCAATCAAATTTTACCTTCTTCTTATCGTTAGTTTCATCGCATCCACCTCCGCCGCCACCTGTATCTTGGCAACCATCTACTCGACCGTCTCCACCAAAACAATTTATGCAACAACAAGCAGTAGCTAGAAGTAGAGATGGGATGCCAGGGCTTTTTTCTGATCTAACATTAACAGGAAACACATCGACGGTGTTTTCTGAGATGCAATCTCCTTGTGCTAGTCCACAGTCACAATCTCAAAGTGCTTTTAAAACACCACAACCTTTTCCTGGTAAGACGTTGCCACATGGAATATTGTTGCATTCATCGAGTAGTGAATTACTTTTTGTTGCAGATTACTCGACAACAAACAGCACCGACAATAATAACTTATCATTGCCGTTTATGGGATCCCAGATGCAAGCCACATTTTCACCTCCATCTCCCAGTGGATTTCAGAATAATGCCGTTTATATGCCAATGATGTTTCTGCATAGCCATCCACAAAGCTTCTCATCTGGTCAGTCAATGCTATCCAAGAAATATCACTTTCGTTCTCTTTTAGATTTTGATTCCCGTAGCAAAAGCAGAAGTGTAGATGGCGTTTTTGGTGCTGCACAATCATTTGTTCCTGGTTAGTCATGAAAAGAATCATATTCATTTTTGCACTCGATACCGCCGCTTTTTGAATTAATACAATCGAGTTTCTTAGGATTTCAATTTGCTCGTGTTCCTCCGCCTCCGCCTCCTCTTCCAACAACAACGTCATCATCATCAATTAGCTATCTTAACCGAGTTCCCACTACTAGTGATACTCTAGGTGGAGGTAAGATTTGAATTTCTGTCTCTATGCATTTATACTGCTCCTTCATTTGTATTAAAGTCGAGCTATATTAAAATCTATTTAGTACAATAGGAATTTATTGCACAATCAGATGTTGCCAGTTCTTTTCTCGTAGTTTCGCTCTTTTTTTTGTAGTCTTGATGAAAAATGAAACATAGAAATAAGCAACAAACGAAAATAGAATTATAAGCACATATATTTTTCGTGAAACATGTTTGCTTACCTCTGAGATCTTGAGATCACTTTAAGTGTCAGTGAATAAATCCGTATATGTACATTTTCAGTATCATATAGGTTAATTTATTGGTAAGTTCTTTTGTTAGTCGAAGTTCGCGGTAGAATGTTTCATTCGAAAATTCAAACTGAGTACATCACACATACTCAGTAAAAATATGCTTATTTAGTCACATAATTGAGTAGTAACTACACAAGGAGAAACATGATAAACAGTAAAATTCAAATTATTTCTAGAACAAATTTTTTCTGACAGACATAAATAGTATTACGTAAGAAATCATTCAACTCATATATCAATAAATATACAATCTCGGGAAAGTTTTTCCAATCTACGCGCAAAATGAATCACTAGTTAGAGTTTTGATACTGAAAACGCTAACCAGTTAAATAGTATCACTATGTACTTTTCGATGATGTGAATGTGTAGGTGTGAGTCTGTTCAATCGCTCTTACTGACATCCACATCAGCACATCTACACCATCAATCTTTCGATTTCTTCATAGTGATTAAGAAAGTCAGCAAGTATACATTTATCATCAAAGATAGATACATCATGAGTTAACTATCAATTAAAAGCCTTTAGTGTATTTCTATGCTCTATTCACGACTGTGTGAAATAAGTAGTTGTCTCCAAATATGCACAACTTGCTCAATAAAGGGTTCATTTTATTTAACCACAACGCAAATACATTGTGAATGAATTGTTCATTGATCATAATGTTCACGATGAACGGAGTAGATGACAGATATTTTTGTGTATTCGTTAAAAGTAGTCATTTGATAGATGACATCATTCAAGAATATCGATGTAAGAAACATAATTTATGATGTGTAAAATAAAATATTAAGCAGATAAAAATGTATTGGACAACATGTTTTAGAGGATAGTTCGAAGCATGAAAACTTGCAGTTTTATACTGAATCGAAATGAGAAAATTATGAAAAATGTCGAAAATAAAATTTTTTAAATTTAAAAGTTTCATATTTCTTATCTTACAGTTTAATATCACATTCGATCGGATTTTAACTTCTGACCATCATGCTTGAAAGTATCAATTGCAAGTTTTGTTCCCCATTTTTCATGATAGATACTCTTGTTCTTTGGAAAACTATGTAAAAGATTTTCAAGACATCATAAACATTTCAGGATATATATATATATATCCGGACGGTCTCTAAAATTTCTCAAAAGAATCATAATGGTATATATCTTCCGTTAATGATGGATTGTACTGCCTGCAATTTGCCTCGACTGACATTAGTTACCGTCATGATTTTCCAGATGTTTCATGTGCTAGCGTATTCATTAATTACCTGGATAATTTTTTGCTAAAGAATCATTATCTCCTGTTGGTCGACAACTAGCTAGTTCTTGTCTTCTTTCAATATTACATTGCAGCATAAAATATGATCAATATCAATAACAAATCATGATACGTTGATAAAAGACTATATTAAACCTCCAATATTCGATGATAGATATCGAATTACCAATAATTTTTTTTGGAAATGATATTTTCATATTGAATGAAGATTCATTCGTCGAGTAATCGCCTATCTTTTAGCTTGTCTAGAGAATTATAGCAATTATATGTGTCATTTTCCATCAATATCGTCTACGTTCTCTCTTAATTTTTTCTTAAAGCAGAAAGAACAATAATAAGAACGTTGTCTGTTGTAGTACGGCATCCTCAATAGTCTACTGCCAGTTGTACATGTTAGATGTGCTATCTTTTAAGTAAATGTTTGTTTTAGGTGTCGACATTCCATCGCTATATGAGTCGCATGCCTATACTGCTAATAGTTCACAATTTGGTTTTACTGCTCCTCCCCTACCACCACCACCACTGGTACCACCACCGCCACCACCGCCACCGGCACTATCATACTCAACAATATCATTGTCAAGAGAGAGGAAGTCATCACCATCAAGCATAAGTACATATTGTGTGAATCCTTCAAAGGCATCACAGTCTAATTCACGCATCAGTATCAGTAAGTTAGAATTATATTGATTCCTTGATTATTTTGATGAATGAACAATAGACATAGAAAGACGGCCACGTACCTCGTCACGTGATGATGAATATGATCGCGCTTGGGGTGCTGTGAGTAAATCACGCAGCTCAAGTGGTGTAGCGCAGAATGACACACCCCAAATGGATTCGATGTCCTTTCATAGAGATCAAGGTTCAAGAATTCTTGAGATGTGTAACGAAGGTCATATCTCAATAGAAAAACGGGTTAGACCGACCATAGTATGTACATAAATATAAGTTCTTTTTTTTTTGGAGATTTTGTTTATGTGTAGGAGGAAGGCTATGACGATGACGACGATATGCTAGACTACGAACTTGAAAGTAGAAGATCAGAATCCATGCGGCGCGGAAGGAACGTAAAAAGAAAATGGTAAGTTATAAAAAATTCCACAGAGGCATACGACGATTAATTATTCATCGTCATTCTTTATTGATGGTACTTTTGAAATGTGAAATAAACTAAAAATTTAGCTTTAAATCAAATATGGACTTTGTGTCAATGTCCGATACATCTCGTTCCGACTTACTGCTCCTCGATGTCTATCCACTTGGTCTGGGCATTGAAGACATTCATGGTCACATGCACACATTTATTCGTCGTAATACAACCATTCCAACGAAAACTCAACTTTTTCCAGTATTCACAAATGCTTATGCCTATCAGGCAACAGCTACTATTCGCATATATGAAGGCGAACATGCGCTTACAAAATACAATGTGTGTAGTTTCCAACATATATAAATATTATTTGTTAGCATTCTCTATTGTAGATATTCTTGGGTGAGTTTAGTCTCTCTGGTCTATCAAGCAATTTCGCTGCTCAAACGCTCGAAATTGCTATTCGCATGGATGTCGATGCCTATGGTATAGTTCGTATCGACGCTGAGGAAGTACGTTCGGGTGCCAAAGCTTCATTCACTGTTGACCCCAGTAGTCAGAAAAGTACGATAATTAATTTGATGTTTGATATCATAATTAAATATCATTTCAATGTGTTTAGGACTCACAAGCGATGATATAGAGCGACATATTCAATATGTACAAAGTTATGCAGATTTCGCAGCGGAATCTAGTCAGTGTTAAAAAAAGTAAATGATATCTAATTGTTGTTATTTTGTAGTTTATGATCGCAAGCCTAGTGATCCATTGTACATGGTATGTATCATATCGTTTTATCATAATTTGGTTGTTCACTTTTTGTTTTTTGTCAGCTTGATGGTCAAACTGAAAATGTAATACACAACTTCTGTGGTGAATCCGTTACCTCATTCGGTAATTTGTCTTTTGTTATTATTCGTGAGATATACTGCAATAATAACTAAATATGAATTCAGATGCAAAGGTTGATATTCCACTTCTCAGTAAACTGAAAGATGTTCAATCAACAAAAACAATGATTGAAGAACTTCTCAAACTTCAATTCGAGGTAGAATCAATTTGAAATTCCATTAATTATTTATTGTTTGACATTCAATTATGAATCTAGGATGGTTCATTTACGCTAAATAAAGACTTAGCTGACATACTTCACATCAATCTTGATACTTTCAATGATCTTGAACGCTATTTATATGAACAAGGTTTTAACTCTCTTGGTAAGATCGAATAATTTATTATTAACATATTGAAACACGTCCTGCAATTTTGTTAGCTTTAAACATACGTAATGAAATTCTTCGTTTGATCGGTACGGGTGTTATTCTACTTTGGCTCGTTCTTCAAACTGGAGCTTCACAACAAAATACATTTGGCTTTTTATTTAACAGTGACCTAATCAAAGTAAATTGATATTTTTCTACCTTCTCATTTTCCCTAACCTAATGTCTATATCTTGCTAAGGTTGATCTTTCCAACTATTTGCCTGCTAACATGAGCAAACAAATTGACAAAGCGATCAAATTCTATCAACTAGCTAGTCAACGTAATAATGTATATTGTAGACAATTAGAATTGAACGTTTCATCGTGGGATATGTTTATTCAACGTATTCTTATCGGAATTGATCGTGACAATAATTAAGAAATAAGAGTTGAGTGATATTTATTCTTTCTTGATAATTTTACTTTTCATTTTTATTATTCTAATCATGAAGTTTTCTAACATTATTTACTTGTCGACTGCAATAAAGAGATTTTGATCGAAAATCATTAACGCCATTACCAATTATTACTGAAAATAGAACATAAATATGCGAGGGTGTGGATGTAGGTTTGGACATGAAAGAAGAGAAAAGCCACACTGTATACTCATACAGTTCTTTTCCATAAATTGAAATGCGGCCATGCAAAGTTATTTTAGCCAGAAAAAAATCGAAGATATAATTTTACAAGATCTTATAAGATATTGAACTATGTTGATAAGATTGTTTGACCTGAAAATATATCAATATTTATTTTGTTGATAGAATTTTTATCAATAAAATTTGACAAAATATAATAACAAGATCAACTTTCACACCACAATAATAGTAATATTTATTTACAGTATGTATGCAGTGATGACTAGAATGAAAAAGCTTTCAGTACAATTCATACGAGATTAAAATGTGAAATTACACTGTAGTTGTTCAATCGCCCATGAAAACTCTTGTTACATTACAGATGGAAAACAGAAAAGATTATTTTGCTTGCTATGAATATATACGTTAACATTGTTTATCGAGCATGTTTTTACGAAAAATTTATTAATACAATTATTTGTTGATTTTTAAAATACAGCTATTTTCACTTTTCGATAAACGGATCTAATTAAGTTTATACAGTCATGTCTAAATACTGTTCCGGTTAATGTGTAAATATAGAATGGCATTCCAAAACTCATAAAACTTAGAAGGTAAAATAGTTGAAAACAAAGATTTTCGATTGTAGATCTTAACAAACTTTTTTGTATATTTAATGTCGATGTCAAATATAGACGTTGAATAGCCAATGGAATATTGAATATAGTCAATAGAATAATTTGAACAATTAACATTTGAATCAATTGTCGATCTGTTTTTTTCATTGGTATTACTATTCCACGTGAATTAACCATCGATACTATGGGATAAAGTAATTTTCTCACATTTTGTACAGTTGCATACCCAAATATTAACATAATTGTTGATGGTATAAAAACGAATACTACTGCTGAAGCAATTTCATTGTATAAACGACATATCATATTTTGACCATAGCATGTCAATGGAGAATTGCGAAGATTTGGTATATAGCAATAGAAAGTTTCGGCAAATATTAATGATCCACCAACAACTGTAATGATCATTAATCTCCGTGTAAAACGAAGATTGCTTAGACTCCGACGTTGTACATCACGACAACTTATAAAATACCTATCAATAGTGGCATAAGTCAAAAACCAGGATGAAGCCGTTGTTGATACCCAAACAATGAATGCGCGTAATTTACATATTATAGCATTTGTTGCAGATGCATCAAGTGAGAAACCAACAAAAAATCGACTCAGTAAACCTGAATAAAGAGCAATTAAACCAGCAATTGATGCATAGAAAAAATAGACAGCACACGGATTTGTACGGTGTTTAGGTTGATAAAATATTAACAAATTTAAAACATTCCCAATAGTACCGAATAAAAGAATAAACATGGACAAATAGCGATTTGATTCAAATGTAAATATTGCCAATGTAGAAGTGATACTGGTTGACATTGCATTCGACAGTAATGTCAAAAAAAAAAGAAGATGGAAAGCAAAAAATACCACCCGCTGTTTAAGTAATACTTGCGTGATGTGTCAAACTGTTTTTTTTATTCTACTAACTTGTGAGTGACACATTGATTATATTTAATTAATGGCAAATGCAAAAATGATACTCTTGTAATTATGCAAAGAACTTCATGTGAACATTAGCTATTTTTAATCTATCTATCGGAACAGACTCAGTGTAACAGCAAGCAATGAATTAATGGAAGAAGATATTCGTCATCAAATATTCAATGTAGCAATACTCACCGATATGAATCCAGATAGTATACCATGATGTGTTTATTTTAAATGAGATTGAATTAAATTTACTCGTACACAAGCCATAATTGTTGTGTACAATGGACAACTGATAGCCGAATAATATGCTTTAGGTTTTCCAAGAATTTAAAAATCTTTGATTGAAGTATGACACAGAGTATAACTTACTCACTCACGAGTATTCCAGGACTGGACCATATCCCCCTATCAAAGAGAAACTATTCCACTTCAAGCATAAATGCTTCAATCACATAAAGTCAGAAAGAAACGCTTTTTCACAAACACACTACCTTTATTCGAACACATCACTACAAGAGAAAACGAAAAATAACAAACAGAACTACTCCATCGATGTCTCCATTTACAAAAACAGAAGTCGGAAAGACTTACAGAGAAATGGATCATTTGACTTTTTTCATGTTAACCGCTGTTTCTAGTAGAAATGGATTTTTCTATTAGAAATCGTTATTTTTTAATGAGAAATGCTTCATCCACATCTCCATTCACTAGCAGAAGTCTAAATGACTTGGAGGGAAATGAATCATTTTACTTTTTCCATCTTAAGGGATGTTTCTAGTAGAAATGCATTTTTACTATTATTAAATCATTATATTTCCAGGCAAGTACTTCATCCATATTTTCATTCACTAGAAGAAGTCGAAGAGGGTGAGAGAGAAATGGATCCTTTTATTTTTTTTAATCTTAAAGACTGTTTCTAGTAGAAATGATTTTTTTTCTAGTTGAAATGGTTATTTTTTCAGGAGAAATATTTCATTCACATCTCCAGTCACAAACAGAAGTAGACAGGACTTGAAGACAAATGGATCATTTGACTCTTTTCATCTTAAGGGGTGTTTTTAGTAGAAATAGTTATATGTAAAGAAGAAGTGCTGGATCATGTATCCATTCACAAGAAGTCTGAAAGACTTAGAGTTTATCTTAAGAAGATCTTGTAGCAGATATCGATTTTCAGTAGCAGAAATGATTAAACTATTTCTGCGGAGTGCTTCATCTATTTCTCTACTAATAAGAAGAAATGGAAAATATTCAAAGAGAATACAGTAATTTTTTTTTTATCTGAAGAAGATCTTCGAACTGATATAGACGAGATTTTTTTTAACGATTATCTGGTGAAAATATATTTTACACAGTAGAGATATAATTAGTCATCATGAATCTGAATATTTGTGATTGGTGCAGATTCCTAGTGTTTTAAATTCAAGTATATGTACAATATCGTATAATAGATTATATGTATATAGATATTTTTTTATTCTTTGTTTCCATTTCTCCTTGACATGTATGACTTTATGTGGGGTGAAGCATTTCTCCATAAAGTGGAACAACTTCTCACATCGACTGGTCCAATTGTCCACTATTGGAGTGTTCTAGTAAAAGATATGAACTTTAATAACGATGTGTTTGTTCCTGTACCAGAATGAGATAATCTCAGTGATCCTCCTCATTCAATAAGGTGAAGTGTAAGTGTGATTATCGGTGTTTGCATCTTTTCTTTATTCACACACTACACCCACATTCATGATCATTTGAGTATGATGTAAACTTTTATTGGTTTTCATACATTTCAGGTTACGAAGATAAAATAAGACTATTGTCATGATGTAATTCAAACAATGATATCAAATTTTGTATAATATTTATCTAATTGATTAAAAATACAGATGTTTCAAGAGACATTGCACTAAATCTCAGTGTATTTTTCTCTCGTTTCTTTATCCTGAAAGAAAATTCGCTCTTATACCTAGCGATAGAGAATTTCAAGCTTTATCCTGGTTTCATCTTGTCCTATCCACATCTACCCCAAATAACATCCATGCTTTTTTCCTTTCAAAGATATGTTTTTACAGCACAGGCTCCTATCATCGGCAAATATAACTAAGCACATTTTTTTTCACATTTGTTGATTTGTTTTATACGGTGGACTTTTTTTTTTATGTTGAAATGCATTTTGTACTCAAGAGTTTTTTCTTTCTTTCGATGAAAATATTTTTATGGCAGCATGCTCTCAAGAGTGACTGTTGCTTTTCTTATTGATGCAGTTTTGAAGTGAGTGTTTTTTTTCTATTATATGGCTGCAATGGGTAAAACTTTTGTGCTTTAATCTTTTGATATAAGAATTCCTGTCAACGTCCATATTTCACGGAATCTTTACTTTTATAATCTTTATGTTATCCAACGTTCTTGAAAACTAACTAGACCGGATTCGAACTCGAATCGAGTGTGAACTATGATACGAAATACGATATCTTGGTGGTCAGCGAATAACAGAAGATTCATTCATCTCTATCGGATTTTCTAACTAGAATAAAGACTACTGAGTGATTTGAAAACCTTGCTAAATGGCAAGACTACCTTCTCTGTCATGGATGTGGGTACTGACAAAGAGGAAATTTAGAATTACCCACCCATCTTTGTCTAGTTCGTCTTCAGGATCTGAAAACAATTCTGATATTCTTGCTAAAAAAGTGTATTTTGCACTAGAAAGAAGCCAAGACAATTTCCTTTTTCAGAATAATACACAAAATATATCCGTGCTCAGTTTTAATTTTGATTTTTTTCATAGGAACATTGCTGATCAATTGTACACATAACAACATAGTGTTTGAATATAATGAATTTCCGTGATCGACTCATTCATAAAATTAATAGAACACATAAACAACTTTCTACTCCAGTTTGGTCTTATTTTCGACACTATCAGCTAAGCAATCGTCATCGTCGAGAGAGTAGTTTATCAATTATATTGTTTCCTGCATGGATGGTCATGTTCTTCATAGCTCTAGCTATTGATTTATGCATTTATCTTGTTGTTGTTTTTTGGTTTATGTTTGTTTTAATTCTAATAACAACTTCTTTCATTTTTCTTATACTTTACATTTTATACCTATGTTTACGAAAGCCAATATTTAACAGCTGATAAAATAATTATATGCCAAGATAAATAAACCAACTTCTCAGTTTGACTCCTAGAAATATAATAGACAGAATGAGGATAGTGTTATGAGCCGATCATATATATCGAAACATATATGTCAGCTTCCCATTTTAAAATGACACGCTACCGACACATGTGTCGACATAAAGCGACACAAAAATTACTCAAGTCTTAGAATAACGAAATATTTCGTTTACAAGATTTAAAAAATTTTGACACATAATGACACGCTGGTATAACATGTGTCAAAGCGTGACAGTACTTCATGTGTCATTTTGGTTTTTTAAACGTTTTGACACATGAAGTATTGTCACCCTTGGACACATGTATGCCAGCGTGTCATTATATGTCAAAATTCTTTAAAAATTGTAAACGAAATATTTCGTTATTCTAAGACTTGAGTAATTTTTGTGTCATTTTGTGTCAACATATGTATCGGTAGGGTGTCATATTGAAATGGGTTACAACTATAGCTGTAGGAAAGCAATAACTAGTCTTAATGCATGGTTGTCAGATAAGTGATCCAAATTAACTTTTCATAAATCTTTTAATGCATGTGATTTGATCACATACAGATTGTGGGTTAGCTTCTTAGAGTACATTTTGTTTTAGTCCACAGCCACAGACTAATTTATGATTTCCAGCATACGATATAATTCAAATTTTTGAAGCCGAAATGTCGTTATTGAACACTCGAATATTGAATCGCTGTAGTGTATTTGTTGAAGATTAGTATGAGATTAGAAACTTTCTTCATTCAGGAATCGATGCGTTCTTCAACCACATATCAACGGTGATCATATTTATGAGAGCCAATGATCTCTTTGATAACTGCTCGGATACATTTTTGTAGAAGTGATCATTGTCAAGACTTGTGCATAATAGTGAGTGGAGCATTGTTGACGGTAGGTCTCTTTCATAGAGGAACACTGATAGAGTTAATTTTACGTTATGATTTTCAAATAAAAGATTGTGTCCAAAGTTTGTAGAATAATGCATAGAATGAGCTATAGCACGTGATAATTTAATGAATAGATTTTCTTCAGTGTCAATATCAAGTAAAAAGTAGTGTTCTTAAATTTGTTTATGTTGGGTAAAAGTGAATATTTGAGACTTTTGAAAACTATTAAAACTGGATGTCCTACAGTCAAATATTACCTTTCATAAAATTCCTACAAGAAGAATGGATTGATATGTTACCAACGTGAATTTTTAAAAAATGACAATATTTATTAATGGAGTAGTCTCACTGAAAATAGATAAAAGAACAAACATGAACTCTTCTCATCGATAAAAAAGTTCTTTTTTGTTTGAGAGATTCATTGTCAGTTACGCACAAAAGAGAAAATATATACAGAAAGTGAGTAAGTTCAATCTCATCGCACTACTCAATATGCTTCACATTCACTGAATACATGACAGATTGGTATAGAATAATAGATCACAATGCACGATGAAATCATTAATTCATCTTCATCTTCTCCTTAATTAACTTGCACACTAGGTGTGTATCATTTTTGTTCATAGTAAGAGTAATCTTAGGCCAATAACCTGTGTCTAATAGAATATAACATTCAAGAGAGTTACGATAAAAAGTAGCATGCCAACAAATAGATGACAATGCCATCCCCTACATTTAATATATAAAAAAGCCTAGATTTTCTATACTATTTCTATTCGAACATGGTAGATTGTCTAATGACACCGAGTTTATGCGAAATCAATCGTTTTTGGAGCTATATACTAGAGATATCTGAAACACTTCGACAAAGAAAGATATAAAATGATTATTTTTATTTAGATACATAATGTATCTTGTATGCCAATTAAGAGACGTCTCATTCAAAAATACCTGGAGATTTTAGAATATCGAAAAACATGGAAACAAACTGGTTTCGAATCTCGATCATTTATGCAAAACCTAATCAAAAATTATAAATATAATTTTTGTTTTCATTAATGAATCTACAATCAAATCTTATTCAGAAGTAATTTAATCATTGATGTTGTACATGTAGACGGCAAATGTAGCTGCAGCCGTTTGACATGCATGTTTTCTTCTGATGGAAGCCGACCACAATCAAGTTTCATCCTTCATGAATCATCTGGAGAGAAGATGGTCAAAGCACGTAGATTTTTCATGCTATTGACTGAATGTGATACAACATTATAGATTCCAACATGCATGGGAAGAGTTTTCCAACTATCATATTCGAAAGTGCGTCGGACGTTGTATAAGATTAGAGATGATTTTAAGTTTTCGGGCAAAGACGTTTTTTGATTTTGAAACCTCATTTTCTGCTAAATATTCAACGTCCCATGCTCTTTCAAATATGATATTTCCGAGACGAATATTCCGCATATAGAAATGATAAAGAGTTTACAGGAACAGTGTCAGTTGTCTTTTATGAAATATTTATTTCAATTCATAGTTATTTATTTATAGAAAGGTTTATTTATCAAAAGGTAGCTCGTGTTCTACTCGTTCTATTTATATGGCTTCAGTTCTTTCGAACAATTCCAAACAAAAATCAATTTAAAAGACCGTCTAAAAGCTTTCTGTCCGACAAAAATTGACCTTTTCACTTTGTTATACGTCCAGTTTCACTATGACTCAACATTTAACGATGAAATTTTCTGATAATATATCACACCCTCTTGAAGTATCACTTGATTGTATATTATTAACTTAATCACAAATATGTAGCTAAGAGATGGAATTTAAAAAAAATAAAGGCTGAAAAGTTTCATCTCTCCAGATTGAAAACTCATAATCAGTTCTTCATTTAACTCATTCATTGTACTGAATATATTATAGAGTCTAGCATGATGCCAATTGGATTATTTTCCATTGATATTCATCTTTTTATTGAGAATGATTACCTCAACCAATTATAACCATATGCTGAACTTCTTTTCATATCAAATATCGATATTTGAGTAAGATTCTTAACTCGCGTTGCATAATCATTTTGAGTACGATGAGAATTTTTATTGATTTTCATACATTTCTACTTAATAAAATAAAATAAGACAATTATCTTGATAGAATCCAAGCGATGACATCAAATATCGAATAATGTTAATCTAAGTAAATAAAAGTGCGCATGTTCCAGGAGAAATTGTGCTAATCTGAACTTACTTAGTTGTCCAACTACAACGATCAATAAAACGAAAACTAATGACAATGTTTTGATGAAAGTTTTGGTAAAAGTTTAAGCATTTCATCAATTTTTTTGTAAAATTCTGCATTATTGATTGAGTGTTTCAGAATTTTAGAAGAGAACCTTAGAAGAAACAGTTTTCGAAGTACAAAAATGTAACATAAACGATAAAAGTCCTTCTCTAGCAAATTTATGATGTTTTTGTTATTTCAATTTGAGGCAACCTAAATATTTTCATTGTTGAATTTCATCTTTACACAGTTTTGTTAAGAATCAAATTTTACATCTGATAGCATAATAATAAATCTTTCAAAGAAAAAGCCTGACCTTTGAACACATGGTTTTCCAAAGTGCACTGAATATTGCTGGGGTGTGGGTGTGTAGGTGTACTCATGTTCGACATTTACACTCATATTCACCCCCACCATCACACATTCACACCAACCTCGCACCCACACTCATATTTTGTTTTGTTAGAGATTTTTGAAAACATATTCGATTGAAAATACGGTTTTGAGTGATCAATCAAATTCAGTGGCATAACGAATTTTATCATCTTTATTTTAATTTCTTCCTCTTTATTGGCCTAGTATCCATTCTCTCCTTGTCTGATCATTGCCTTCTCGTATGATCGCTATGCTTGACTATGCCAATATAGAATATTTCCAATTAGAGTTATTTTATTACTTTTCGGAAATCATTTCAATAATGATTTTACCTACAGTACGACGATTCATTTGCAAACGAAATGCTTCCTGAATACCTTCTTCTGTAAATGGCATACGATTGGCTATTGTTACCTTGAGCTGGTTGGCCTCACAAAATTGACGCAATGATTCGAGCCTCCTAGTGCTATCCGGAAATCTGACCCAGAATAGCTGTCTGCCCTTTGCGAACCAGTCAATACCAAAAAATCGTTTGATGTGTGCAAGAACCCAGTCCGTTACGATACCTCCAATTAAAATATACATTCCAGTAATTAATTTAGGTTTCGTATTACGAATTCGAGTTTCATAAGCAAAATTTGCATCTCGCAGATCATGGGAGGATACAGAGTCAAAAACTAAGTCAAATGGACCATGACGTAATGTAACAATATGTAAATCTTCTAATATATTTGTAGATAGATCGTAAAAGAGAATTTCGTCTGCGCCAAGACCTTTAACAAAATCTGCATTGCGTGAACTGGTCACTGCAGTCACTCTTGCGCCTTTGATCTTGGCTATTTGTACGGCAACATGTCCAGTTCCACCCGAAGCGCCCAGAACCAGAACATGCTGTCCAACCATTAGATTATTGTCCTCGAAAGCTTGCAGAGCCGTCAAACCAACTAAAGGTATCGCACATGCTTCGGCAAACGATTTGTTATTGGGCTTGTGGCAGATGAAATCAGTTGGTGCCCTTACATACTCTGCGAACGAGCCGCAAAACGGAGGAATTGTACCAAAAACTGCGTCGCCGACTGTATACTTACAACCTGGAGGAGCTTCGACTACTATACCACTGAAGTCAATGCCGCAAATTCTGCTCTCAACAAACCATTTCACCAGAGGTAAACAGAAGTGAGGCAATTTGTCTCCATAAAGAAATTTTGCATCTACCGGATTCACGCCACCGCAATATACACGGCATAGTACCCACTGGCGGTCAGTCACTTCACCATAAGGACCCGGAATACTAGGAAACAACCAACGTAGTAGGCACATAAAATGACTAATGCAAGTGAAAACAAGATTGATTATTTGAAAAGACCAAAAACGGATTATGTTAGTGGAAGTCGGCTTATACACTGTTGATGTTAATGTTGGACGTGGAATGGTGGCGAGCCTCACACTATTGGTGGAATTCTTTGAATAGATAGCAGCTTTCATTACAATGATTTTACGAAATGCTTTTTGATCCTTTCATAATGTTACTTTATTTTTCATCAGGTAAAGAAAAAAAACGAGAGGGTAGAACAAGATAAGAGTAAGATAAACTTATAAAAAAAACCCATACGCATGTTGTTGATCGTTGAAAGTTGCCTTCAACATGATCTTTAGCAACTAAATTGAATTTTTTCTATAGGTTAAGACAGATAAATGCTAAGCACAATTGAATTTCTAGGAATACGTCAATCGACGAAGTAGCGTCTGTCTATGTTAACTTTCCTAGAAGTTCAAATATAGCACAATTAAGAAGCATTCAACAAATGCTTACCCATTAATGTTGATTAGACTTATTCTGACATTTCAAATTCTTACGTAAATTTGTGCTACATTGCAATCTGTTCTCATAATTTTCATGAAAACTTCGACTCTTTCTTGAGTTTCAGCGCACTTTCGACGGAGAAATGATCACTCTATTCAGATTTAAAAAAAGCGTGAATTTTTATTGCTTTTGAACATGGAATAAATTTAGAAGAAATATGTTTATGACTCAAATTCCGTTTCTGCTGGAAAGCAGTAATGCACATCACTGAATTTATCGCGCGCAAATACAAATAAGAGTTTTAGCGGTTCTGTGCCGGTATTGTAGCAAAAATGTTCAGCATTGGCAGGTATCCATACTGATGTGCCCGGTTTGACATCTGTTTCTATACCATCGATGTGAACTCTTCCTGTTCCACTTAAAAAATAATATCTGGACGAACAAGAAAAACAAAATAGACTTTAAAATGATACTAAATAAACAACATACACTTCCTCTGCATCGTGTGTATGACCACGTTTCGTAGGAGGAGCTCCCACTGGAACTTCTGCAATACCCATAGTGAGCCCTGTTGTTGATGTTATGTCACCATTGATTAGTTCCCACCACTTCACATAACCACGCTTTGGATGATTCCATTCTTGAGTTTCACAATCGTCAACACAGCGAAAAACAGGTTTAGGTTTATGTTCATCCATGACTGATAATCAAATACTGATGAAACGTATTTTAACGTATATTTAGCATTTTGTCTAAAAGAAAATGAAGCTCGAGGTTTCTGATATTGCTTTTCTGATATACTTCTTTATTGCAGAATATGAAAAAGAGACAAAATATGCGATATGGAGAAGATAATATAAAAAAGTAAAGCTATAATAAATGAAGTAACATAACTATGCAATAGATACTGATTATTGTCACCTTTTGCTTAGGTTATCATGCAATTTTGATGACTGAAACCTTCTTTTTTTGTTTAAACTTGTTAGGTTACAATTTCACTGCGTAAGATAATTAGTTAAGTTCTACCTTGTTTTCCTTCTACAGATTTCCTTTCAGAAATGAAAGTAGCTGCAACAATTATATTTCTGCTTGACTCTGCTAATTTCGTAGAAATTTGCTTATCGCAACAACGTTTGCCTCTATATGTTGCCAAAGTTAATAAACCAACAGCACACATATCAGAACAAACAAACAAAAGATATAGAAAGAAACAATAAAACTTCTTCTCTGTGTGTTTCAAGATCTTTTGCTCCTTAAAAACACAGAAGAATTCAGAAGAAAATCTTGATAATGCAGAAAGGGAGCGGTGATGTTTAGTGTATTCTTTGGAATGTTATCTTCACTCTCAGCCCCCCCCCCCCCCACCTCAAGTCTTCTTCCCTCCTACTACCATCTTCAAGACCTGGCGTTTTCTCTTTCAGCAATGTGAATAGGTGAATAGTTAGTTTTTTTTCAAAAAAATTCCGTTTTTAATTTATGTTATTCAAAGCCACTGTTGTTACTTCATTTCTTATCAAGTTGTTGTCCTTAACAATTACCAATGTTTGCAAAGTGTTTCAGCTTGCTATAAGTTTTTTTCATTGACTATTGATGAAAATCTTTTTGCTTCAATTCTCATCTTATTCTTGTCATACCAAAGATTTTTCCTATCGATATTCTTTATGGTATTTTTGTATTAATTCACTTCGAGGTTTCCTTCACTTCGTACAGTACAAATCGTGAAAATTTTCATCAAATACATTCTTTGATTTTCGTAGAAAATCAGCCTATTATATTTGTCGTACGAACACTCGTCAGTTTTCGGAAATGATCCTTTCTCTCTGTATATTAAAATTCAACCTAGTTCAATCATGCATCTCATTGATGTTGAATCTCAAGTCAAGTTGACATTTGAACTCAAAGTATTTTATAGTAGGTTTTTTTCAGCTCTACTTTTTGCAACAAGATTTGGACTAAAAAGTTAATGATACCAGTGCAAAAAAAATATTACACAAAGGGTAAGTGTTTTGGACCATTTGATAATAAAATCTTCTCTATGAACATTATGTTTGCTATTAAATGCACTTCATTTAATGGTATTATTATTAGTTTTCTAATAGTTGTTTTATGATTTGTTGAATAATCTAATTTTTCTGTTTGCTTTCTTTTATGTCAGTAAAAAGATTACGAAGAAAACTATGAGATAAATTTTTATTTAGAATCAAGAAAAGTTGTTTTAATTAGTTTTTACAAATAAAAAATGCTTAACAACACTAGCTCTTTCAAGTTATCATTTTCTCACAATCGTTCACTCATATTTTGCATAGAAACCAATATGTGGAAAATAAAATGGTGCCTATGTCAGAAGACATGAGTGTGAGTATTGACATCCTGTTCACTCACACAACAGATCGATATTTTCAAAGTTTTTTATTCTTATGTCAGTTTCTTACGATTTCTCAAAATATTGTTAATATGTGATATTATCGTTGATAACTGACATTTCATTCTGTACGTTTGACCTGCCGAAAAGAGTTGATTGTGTCATAAATGAATCAGTTGTTTAACAATAAACTTTGCTGTTTTGATTCATGATACAGGACAAACATTGGTCCTGTTGAATTTTAGTCACTGCTAAAATAATTTTTTTTTTGTTTATGAGCATATTTAACTCTTAAAACTTTGAAATATCTCTACTCGTGTTACAATGGAGTGAAAAATTGGTGATTAGCACACGATAATCATCTTCGCCAACAAATAAAATGATTTTAAAAAAGTACAGAATATCATTGGAAATACATTGAAACGTATTATTGTTGTTTTCAATAAGTTGATGTAGGTTGATGCTCTGATTTTGTAATTTACTGTGAGTCTTGTCCATACCAAGATTGAGTATTGTTGTATGTAACTAGTTGAAATCGTTGCATATTTTCATATTGCAAAAGATCAAGTGCGAACATATTTTCTTTTAAAAACAGTTACAGAAATTCTAATATATTCAATAGTTCATGTTTAACTCGACATTGAATTTTGAAACAATGCAAATACTAATTTATTATAAAGCTGTATTGTAGCTTTTCAGGAATCAAAAGATAAAATGCAATGAATGAAATCTACTCGTACATCATGTTTATCATGTCTGTGTATGCTATTTATAATTTTTGAATTAGTGTTCTTCTATCGAATTTGCAGTGGATAAGTTTTTTTTTATGAGATCTCTTGTTATTTTGTACCCCACTGCGAACATTACTTATAAAATAAAAAATCCCTCCGGTTTTGCTCGAATTAGGAGAGTGGTGTACCATGTAATCGTCAATCATAGCTTATTTGAACAATTTTGTCGATGTGACCCAATAGAAATGCTATAGTTAATAGTGTTAGTTTAGAGTCATTGCCATACAGTTTTAGGACGTGTTTTTGATGATAATACATGTCATAAAAATGGCTTCCCGTTATTATACAATCATACGTTATGATAGCATAGATAATTTACACATATATTAGTATAAAGGCTTAAATTCTAGTTAAAACTTGCCGGAATGATTATAAATCATTAATGAAAGATGTGATAAAAGTTTCAAGTAGATCAAAATGTCATTCATGTGGACAAAACCGTATGGGAAACAAGAATCGGAATAAATATGTCTAAAATTAATAGATCTTTCTGTAAACATTTTCAGAAGAGCTTTGATCTCTATTTGATCTATCCTTAGATATAATATTGTTAAAAAATCAGTATAACGTTTGCAACTCTTTCTAAATAGATCATGTTTCCGAAAATATTCAGACTTCTAATGATTCTCGAGATATTTACTTGCAATCAAACTACGAAGTCAAAACAATTTAGGAATGTTCTCTGATCAATCATCAAATAGAAATATTATCATCGAGTTTTTCTCTTAATTCTATATCAAATTGCTTCATGACATACTTTTGTCTGTCATTCAGCAATCGTTGAATTTATCTGTTGTTATATTGTAACACATTGAGATTGTCTATCTTGAATAACTAAAAGCAAAATTCATTTTATTAGCAAGAAAAATATTTTTGCTAAAAAAAATCAAAATGTAAAGCATTATGAAGCAACTTCGACTGTACACAATGACGAGCTGTTAATATA